AGAAGGTCAAGGTCAAAATGACACCCAAAATGCAAAAATAAAAGCAAAACAAAGTCAAAGCCATACTCTGATGTGAAGTGCAGTGAATGGCATTTGGTCCTCATGTTAGACTCAGGCTCACATAAACATGATGGGAGCTGCACAGTGGGGTTTGGTTTTTTTTTTGGCACTGAGGTATTTTCTGCATTTTCCCCAAGGATGTCATGTCTTTGTGAAAATAGACAGTTCCGCTGTTGTACCTTATATCAGCCACTAGGGCAGCACGCCTAATTGTCACTAATTGTAAAAGCTCCTTGATGTCTATTCAAGTACTGGATATTGCAAATAATTCAGGCTCTGGCAGATTTCCCTTTCCCTGTTCAGAGGAATCTCCTCTCCCAGGTGCAGGGAGAGATCTACCATCTCGCCCAGACCACATGTCTCTCTGGGCCTGGCTCAAGAAAGGTGGAATCTCACTGCTCCAAGCCTGCCCCCTAGAGTCGGGGGTAAATGGCAGGTTTTGAGGAATACTGTGATTCTAGACACATATGTTTCCTTCAGGACCTGTTGGAGCAAGAGAAAGTTTTTTCCACAAATGAAGTCAATCAGGAAGAGGATGTTCTGTAAGCCGAATGGTTATGGTGCAGTGCATCATGTACTCCTCTGGGGTTCACAACATGGGCAGTTTGCCTCCAGCTGCCAACGGCTCTGTCGAAGGTTTCTGTTTCTCTCTTCCTCTGTTTCCCATTTCCTGTCCGCCTCTCTGTGACCCATTACTTAAATAATGGCAAAAAATGCCTGAAAATATATCTTTAAAAAAAGTCTATCTGGCAGCGATTTCAGCATGTCATGTGGGTTTTGGTGTCAAACCAGCCAGACAGCATCCTCTAATTAGTGGTTTCATGAATAGTGCTCGTCATAAGCTCCCGCTTTCTAAGTCTCTGGTCCCAGTGTGAGATCTGGTGCTCATGCTAGACACCCTCTCTCACGATTTTTTTTTTTTCTATCAAGACTGCACTGCTTTTAGCTTTAACCTAATTATGTTAGAGATCTACAGGCTTTGTCCGTCTTGCTTGCAGTGAGCTCTAGGTTTCACTAAGGTGTGCTTGCAGCCCATCCCAGCATTTGTGCCTAAGGTAGTGAATTTTACATACAGCTGTCCCACTGAAGAGCTTGTGGCTTTTCACACCCCTTTGTTGTCCTCAGCAGAGGAACAGAAGCTTAACACATGATACCCTGTGCAGGCCCTGCCTATGTATGTTTACAGGACTGCAGAGTTTAGAAAAATTGATCATTTGTTTGTTTCATGGGCCCCTCTTCATAAAGGCAAGCCATTGTCCTGTGAGAGACTGTCCTACTGGATAGTGGAGGCCTTAACCTCACCCTATAGGTGTAAGAGCTCCCAAACCCATTCCACCAGGAGTATGGCCGTATTGTGTGCCCTGTTCAAGGGACTGTTCATTCAGGACGTGTGTGGAAGCAACCTGGGCTCTGCCACACACATTCAGGCATTTTTACAGGTTAGTTGTTTTAGGTCAGTCATTGACTTATGCAGTGCTGGGGGCCAATGGGTCAAGGCCCTTTTAAATATTGTGTTCTGGGGTTAGTTCTGTTGTGCAGTTGAGGGGAGATCTTATTCACTCCAGGAGTGGGCTATATCCCATAGCATTTTCCTATACCTCCATAGGGAAATGCTGGGCACAATTATAAAAAAGAATATTATTCAACGTAATGCTTGGTTCTTTGACCATCTCTTCCTTCCTTGCTTAAAGACAGGCAGAAACCAAATCCTAGAATGATTGTGTAGGGGTCAGTTTAAACTGGAATTATGAGGCAGGCAGAGCCCCGAGCTCTGATCTGTTACCAACAGATGTGGTGTCATTGGAGCGTCCCCATAGTAAAACACTTGTTTTCAAGGAACCAAGGATTATGTTAAGTTACCCAGTGTTTTCAAAGGTTACTTTGTAATTTATTTTATTTTTGTTGTGTGAAAAATATTTTAGATTAATATTTTATCATAGTTTTTGTTAGTGAAAATTACCCAGCTCAACACTTGAACTATATATATATGTGATTCAAACATGGGGTGTGTAAAGTGCATCTGGTCTATATCAGGTGCTAGAACCTCAGAACGTGGATCCATCCATGGTTCAGATGACCTTTCTGGATGATGTGGTCCACTCCCTGCTGAAAGGAGAAAACATTGGCATCACCTCCAGAAGAAGGTCACGATCCAGCCAGAACAACAACACTGCCCATGTGAGTATATATAGGGTGTTTTCACACTTAGTTCGTTTTAAATGAGCGTTTTAAATGAACTTGGTCCTCTTTAAAGTGGACCAAAAAGGGACCCATTAATGTGGTATTTTACTCATATTGGTTCTTTTTGTTATTTTTTGAAGTAAAGAAAATTAAGAAGGGCATCAACATTGCTTTATTTCTTATTTTCTCATATTTACTGTTAACATTGTTGAATAGCAAATTGCAACAGCATTGTTTTGGAACAAACCACTAGACTATAATGTGATTACTGAAATGTAAAAAAAATAAATAAATAAAAATCTGACAGTACTTTTACTGCGAGATGCCTCCAGCCCCTAGATCATTATCTCCGCCCCTGCTTTCCCTGCTCTGGGCGTTCTCAAGTGAAACTGAACTTCTGAACAAGAGTTCACTTGATGCTTTGACCAACTGCAGATTGAATTTATGAATGAACCCACAACAATCAGCTGGCTACTGGTGATTTTGGTTATTTTTAGGCATTAATCCATATTTGTATAATTTAGTTAACTCCGTGCGTGGGCTCAAGGCTGCTTCAATAACATACATGCGCAAGGAGAGAAACTACAACCTAGTCATTGGAAACCTGCATTTCTCTGTGATGGACTTTTACTAAAGATTTCAACAGATTGCTGATGTTTCTGCCTTTACATGCAAAAGACTACAAGCGCTTTGTGTTCACAATGCAAAGATTAAGCGAACTGCATCGTGGAATTGAAAAAAACTAAACTTAGGCCACCTCTTGAGGGGGTCTTGTTTCAGAAAGGTCTGGATTTGTTTGGCGTGTTTACATTTATGCAAAAAATGCTGACTAATCACTGTTTGCTTTGAGAGCTGAAAGGGACCAGGTGTGAAAACACCCATACACATACAAGAGCATATGTGCACTGTTAAAAGCTTCCTAATATCAGTCAGTGTTGATGAAGAGGGTGAAGACATTTTAAAATGTATTGATCTGTGTAACTGTCTGCAAAATACATAAATGTACAAAGCAAGAAATGAAGACATTTACAGTAAGGTTACACAGAAAGGTCGGAGTGAGTACATTATGAAAATGTACTGTGGCTTTACATACAGTCAGCACAGTGTGTTTAATAAAGACAATGCTGCCCTTGCAAACAAATTAAGCCTCAAATCAAGCAGAATTCTATTAGCTGTCAATAATTCATATAGATGTCATCTAATTAAAGCACCCTCAGACCTTTGTCAAAGATGTGTGTTAGATACACAAATAATGAGAAAGTGACTATAATGGAACCAACAAAGGGAAGTTTGATTTCCAACAGATGAGAAAACTGCATTACTGATGGTATCCAGACTGGGTAATGGTACCTTTACTTTACTAAAGAAGAGGACAATGACAACAAACACATGACCAGTTTAGTGCGACTCAAGCCATCTTTTGAAACGGCAAGCTCTCCATATTTCACATATTTTACATTTAGACTTCAAATGGATTGCATATATTTCGGCTTGTGCTTAATGGTTTATTTCATTATTAATTAATCTTCACATTATTTTCTAGATCATTTAAAATACCCAAAAATGTTGAACCACTTCACTGTATTCTCCAGCCGAATGCAGCCAGACATTTGTTGCTGCTGTGATTCTTGCATTGTGGGTAGACTACTGTTTGTTTTGATTTTGTAACCATTCATTTGACCTCAGCATCACCTACATTGCATCTGTCTATCTGTTGGTTTCACAGACACTGATCAACATAGCTTCCCAAAGGCTTTCCAGATATTTTATTCATATTTCAATATCTCATCCACAGTTCTAAACCAGGATAATCCTATTGGCTTTCCTAAATTGCACAATAAGTGTGGTTATCTATGAATTCCTTCCTGTTTGTCTGTTGTCATGTAACTATTTGTCTCATTTATGCTGTCTCATTTTTTACTTTCTCTCTGTTTCTTAAAGGTGTTAGCTTTAAAATAAAGTTCCTGTGTACTCTTGGCTTAGTTTTACATTAAAACTCAACACACACACACACACAGAGAGAGACGTACACTGTAGTACCTGCTACCAATTGGCTCATTTCATATGGTAACATTCCACAAGGTAGAAAAAGTAAAAGGCAGTTTAGAATTTATTATTGTTTACTTTTTATGAAAGGAGCTCACTGGTGAACCAGGTCATTGAACACTCAGCTAGTCATTTCTGGTCCCGCAGTCATTAACAAAATTTCTCCTTGTCCCACATTTTCTTTATATTCATTTCATTTTGTTATTTTTCTTTTGTTTTCCCTTTTTTTTTTCTTGTTGGTGTTGACACATTAAAGATGGCAGGAGGGAGACCCGGCGGGACCACAGGCAACACTCAGGTACCCCCAATGAAAATCAATCGCAAAACAATAGTGCGTGTGCAAAGACAGACAGTCTGTAGATGAAATTTCAAAGTTAAATATTCATTTTAAGGAGTAACTGCACTGGGCTTAAAATCCTACCTACTCTGCCATGTAGTAGTTCCTGCATCCTCTGACACACCCTGTGCACTCCAGTATTCAAGGTGACAAAACGGGCGTGGTCACAAATATGCAGACCACACCAGAGCACCGCTGCTGGACAGTGGTGAATCAAACTGTAGATGCAGGTGCAGTGATATTATTGTGTAGTGTGGAGCTGCTCTTTGACTCTAAACCCTAAATCAAGGGCACATTTAATTTTGGGAAACAGTGACCTCCCTGCAGTTTGATTTTTAATGTTAGTGAAAAGCTCCAGCTTAATTTTTAACTTAATTTTTAATTTAGTAACCCATAGCCTATCCATTTGCTTCAGTAGCCCAGTGCAAGATAAACTCGGTGAGAAATAGTAGGATTACAAAGAGAGAAAGTGCTACTCTGTCTTTCATAAATAACTAGGATTGACCTGGGAACTAACCTCAGTGCACTGAAACATTTGACTTTTTGGGATAGCATAGGATATTTCATTTCTTTGCCCAGGTACCTGCTATGCATTCTTTGTTTTGCCACTGTAATTTCCATCTGGATATTAGCCCAAACAAAGTCACAGGCTCATTTAACTATTCTTCCTGACATTTTCAGCACATTTGACAATGACCGACATATCCTAGACAGGGTCAGGGACATGAGACAATAATTAAACAGAGTGGCACACTGACCTTCTCTGACTAGTGGGCTGACAAGGGTCCATAATACCCAGGTGACGTTGTGTATTACAGTTTGTGTTGTTGGAGCCTGGCCTAACGTATCCTTTCTTGTGACGTATCAAGCATTACGTACACCTTATTCTAAGCTAACAGCTACATAACAACAACAAAACACCTAAAGCACTTTTACAGGTGACTTTGTAAAGATTTATACATGACCTATCTGGGCTATAGGAGCACATGAATATCAGGCTAGCACAGCTGTTCTTAAACCCCTGTGTTTACCTTACTCAGCTCCAGCCCATAAATCACACAGTATAAGTGGACCATATTCGCACGGAGGTTGCTGTTTCTTAAAATTACCTGTTTAGCAAAGTTGTTTCCATCTAAATCATCTCATGACTAACATGATGACTGTATTACAAAGAAGTGATATAAACATTTAAATAATTTTACTTGGTTTTATACTGTACAAATCACTTCACCCCAGATACCAACACCTAGGCTATTTCACTATATGGGCTTAGAAACAAAACCCTTGTGGTCACTGAAAAATGTTGGTAAGAAACTGTACTCCTGCAGCAAAAGCCAAGACAAATGAGATACCATGCTTAACAAATCTCTGGTTGTAAGCTATCGAGACCTGTCAAGCTCTATTGATACTGCTTATAGCAGTGCTCTTTTGTTGCATTGCAGCACTATGGTTTAAAAAAAAAGCCCACCAGCTATAAAATGTTTTACTGGATGTCCTAAAATAATGTAGTGCACCTAAAAATTCTTTGCGACATGGCTGAAAACCAGCAACTCGGAGATTATTCTCATGTACTGTATAACATGCCATAGGAACACTTTTAATTAAAATAAGTTAAATTTTCAAGTAGAGGTGTCTTGTTGCTGCCACTTACACAGTGCAGTCACAAAGTGTTGGGACTGATGCATTTTTGTTATGTTGTATGTGCAGCAGATTGGAAATGCAACATTGATGAAGAGCTTTACACTTACATCCTAATCCTCCATTTATAACGATCATAAAGCAGTTGGACAATTGGAGAATCAAAAGGCTTAAGGCATAATATTTAATATTTGGTGTAAAATTGTTTGCCTGGAGTCCAGCAGTGAAACATGATTACTTGGTTTTACTGCAGGTCACATGACTGACCTGGACTGTTATAACATTCCATCCTAACATGCCTTTAAAAAAAAAAAATCCCATGATTGCTTTATCCTTGGCCAAAAAAATGGGAGACTGTGTATATTGATTGCATCATATATTTTGTTCCCCCAAGTAGGTGAACTCTCTCAGATGAGTCATGTTTTGAGTACACTGTAGATATCCAGCTTAAGTTTGTGTTTTTACTTTTTTCATGTCAGCCATTTCTGTATGTGGAAGTATTTTCCAGTGTTCCTCTCTCATTTGATTTTAATGAACATGCGTTTGGATCAATTCATGCACAATTTAAATATAATCAGATAATTCTCACTTTCTGAATTCAATAGAGCATTTAGTAGAATGTTAAAACTAAAATTGGTCAGAAGTTGACTTAATTTATCTGGCCAAATCTCTGGGTTGGTTGTCTTTTACCCTGCTTTTTGAATGTAAGAACAGTGTAATTTAGCATTTTAACTGTAGGAGCAGTTGAATGGTCATAAACACCACTGCAGTATTGGTTTCTATAGCACTTCTGTCCCTCAGATATGGATATAGTTGCTAAAAATCATTGTGTTATATCCTACTGCTTTACATCGAAATGGAAACATGTTTTGTCCCTTTCCATTTACATACAACAGAATACTAGAAACAATATGCACTCAGTATCCAGTTTATTAGGTTTTTGTTCTTTATTTCTTTTTTTTTTTATTACCTCAGTGGTGTAGGGTGATTATATACTTTGTGATAGGTCCGGCTGTTACCAGCGAATATAGCAGAGCATGTGTAAGCATATGCTACAATTTTTAGACATATCAAAACTATGGAGCCTCAGTTTATGGAGGCTCTTTGGTTTACCGCTGTATCTGCAGTATCTACAGCAGCTTATTGTTATATATTCTTGTGCTTTGCTTATACGCTTCAGCATGTTGCTCGGCACTAGATTACTACAGAACCTCAGTGATGTGATAACAAGTCAGCAGTAGCACAAAATACAGCCTCAGTTGCATTTATTTAATTCAGTTGTATCAATACAGCTGTGAAACTGTTTTAACAAAACTGAATATTAAAGCTTTCATGACTGCTGGATTTTTTGGAGGACTGGATTTGCTTTAAATAAGAGGACCAAAATAGCTAGCAACTGGTTCTAGTTTAAATACCGGTATTGCTGCAAAAAGATATGATTTATTGCAGGGATGTCAGATTAGAGTGTAATAGATTGTAGAGGTTTATCTGATATACTGGTAACTGAGTGTGTACATTCATAGTAATATTGGTGGCTTTGACCGCATGTTTCTCTGCATGTCCTGATGTACGATCTTCTTTTATTGTGACAGAGTCATTACACCCGAGCCCAAGCCAACAGCCCCCACCCCATTTTGGCTTCATCAGGCCCAAACCCAAAAGGCTCCCAGGGGACGCTGGCCTCCCAGCAGCAGAGCCAGTCACAGCAAAGCCAACAAGCAGGCAGCCAATCACACCACTCACCCAACAGCAGTGGACGGGAGCAGAGAGAGCAGCGCAACTCTCGCTCTTCAAGGAGGAAAGGATCAGACAGCAGCGTTCCAGAGGAGGACAAGAGAGAGGAGACCACAGGGAGAGGTGAGGACCGTCACCGTCAAACACTGCTTGAAAGTTGTTTGAAGTAAAAAGGTTATTTATATATATATAGATATATATATATAGAGAGAGAGAGAGACTTTTAAGGGTATATTATGGCATGTTATATTCAAGTCAAGAGTGAGGTGGAGACGATGGATACCACATGGTTGAATGTCCAAAAATCACTTTCTTCTTTCTTTTCATTTGTCCAGAGTCCAAGTCCAAGGCAAAGCAGGTGGTGAACAAACGTAGGAAGGGTGAGGAAGATGAGAAGAAGGCTAGTCTAAAGAGGCTGAAGACTGACATGACATCTGATTTATCAGAGAGCAGTGACTCAGAAAACCCACACAATAAGAGGACAGCCCACTCCTCTTCCTCCTCTTCCTCCTCATCATCCTCCTCCACTTCCTCCTCCTCATCTTCCTCCTCCTCAGAACCCAACTCTGAGAATGAGCTTAAGACTCACAGCAGTGATGTGAAACCAAGTGCCGTTTCTAAAATGGAAGAAGACGAGAAACAGCTAATGCAGGGCACCAAACTTAATGATTCCTCATCTCTCATTGGTCGGCTTTCCCCGTGGGTGGAGCTTCACGCCACCGAGGAGAGCAAGAAGACTGTGCTTAAGGAAACAGGCAAAATGATAACAATGGAGGAGGAGGAGGAATTGGTAGCAGTAACACAGATCACCCAGTCTCCACGGCAACAGACACCTCTGTCTGACACTGTCCAGGGCAGCATTATGGAGAGCAGCAAGAACAGTGTAAAAGGTATTCAGCTGATGCAAGACAACTGCCATATATATATAATGATTGTCAGTAATTGAGTGTTCTTATAGTATTGTGTTTTTTAGCATCTTCCCGATCCCAGACGCCATCGTTTTCCCACCTCCATGGCAACAGTGTGATTGACATCACAGATGACGCCCAGGCCACGGTGCACCGTGAAAGTTCAGAGGCAGTGTCAGCATTGCTTGCCTCCCAGAAGGCTGAGTCCACTGCCCTCTCACCTTACCTCCCCCTCAATCCTTCCCCTGTCTCCTCACCTCCTGTCCCACCTTCTCCCTCACCATCAGAAGGAGGGCGTAGGACAGATATTGAGACTCCCATGCAGTTGCAGCAGCAGGGCATTATGGGAGGTGGCATGACAGCAGCCAGGAGTCTAGGCAACAAGATGGACTTTGCTCCCTCTGAGGTCATCAGGTGAGAAGAGTCTTCTTCAGTTCAATTTTAAAGTCTTCAGTTCTATTCAAAGAACTTTATTCTTTGTGTTTATTATAGTCAGGTTTTGACAACCCATGATTCTTTTTGAATGTTTTGAAATGATGACTTGGTGGCAGGGGCAATCATTAGAAAGGCCATTGGGTCACCTTCAGGATTTGATTTCTGCAACAGTCCTTTACATTAATTGAACAGGAGTTTTAACGAGTCAGCCTTGTGTCTGAATAAACACCCTGGCCACCTCTATACAAAAATCATTACATCTGTCTTATTAGGTCAAAGCAGAAACATTTCTGTATCACTTTAAATGAAGTAAATGTAGCCAGATTTACAAACAAAGAGCACGTGATTGCAGTAAATTGTCTGACCTTCTGTAATCAATAAGCTAACTGTAATGCATTTGTTATGCCAATCATTGTTTTGTATGCACAAAATCAGTTTTAATAAATGAGGACACACTATCAAAGAGCCCATTTTAAGGCATAGACAAGATGGATCTTCTCATATTTGTCTGTAAAAACTTTTTTTTGCTGTTCAACCATAGCAGAAGAAGTTAAAAACCTTGTAGAATATAAGTGTGTGTGTGTGTATTTTTTATGTTTATTTATGTTAAATGTAGATAAATTAATAATTAATAATCAGCAATATGCTTTACAAATGCAGCATGTGAGCAAATAAAAGGAGTTCCATCTTAATGCCCTGTCATTCAGTGCTTTTACTTGTGTTTTAAATCTATCCACCATAATTTCAACAGCCATAATAGAGTAAAATAGTGAAGTACTTCTGCCTAAAATGTGGCTCAAAAGCATCAAGTAGCATGAGGTAATGCTCACATAAAGTGAATAGTTGATGTGGTTTGTCAGTTCTGCGTGTACCATGCTTGTAATTACACACCACAACAGAATTTTTTTTTTTTTTTTATGTGTGTTCACAGCTAATAAGTGTGCACTTTGATTTATGTACCCTTGGATTAAATTTGACAAGTTATTCATGATAGCAATTGAAATACATTTCATTAAAATTGAAAGTAAAGGTAATCTTGTATGTGATCTTGCATTGTACATATGTAAAATACCATTTTCTTTGCTTTTATCAGGCCTGTTACATCAGTGGCTGATAGTGTGGTGGTTGTGGAGAAGGAGAAAACGGTCCTTCCTCATCATCTTCTTCAACATCTTCAACAACAGCAGCAGCAGACACAACAGCAGCAGCACTACACATCTGTCCACCCTGGCATTAAGAGCCCGTCTTTACCTGACGAGATGAGAAAACACCCACAGCAACAGCTGCCCCCCCCCAAGATGAACACAGTCCTCCCCCCTGACTTAGCCAAATCTAAAATAAGCCCCAGTTCAAACCCCAACCCATCTCAGCTCGACTCTGTGAAACCGAAACCCAGGCAACCCAGCAACTCTCAGACCCATCCCTATCCCAACACAAACCCAGCTGAACATCTCAAAACTAAGTCCCACCCAGGTGTGCTGGACATCTCCAAACCCAAACCCAATACCTCCCCAGAGGTCTCTAAACATAAAATACCTAGGTACTCTGATGCCTCCCCACCTCCAACAGGCCCTTTTTCCACTAAAGCAGAAACAATAGAACCTCCGCGATCTGGTTTCAAGCCAGTGCTTGCACGGTCAGAGCAGGGTGGAGTCGGTATGAGCAGCACTAGCACCAAGAGCCCTCTGATCATCGATAAAAATGAGACCTTCACTGTTTACAGGGATCCAGCACTGGTCCGCTCTGACGCAGAGAACTCTGTCTCTGCCACTGTTTCCTCCAACCACGTGGCAGCCTATCTCCATCCCCACCTGCATACCCTGCATTCTTCTTCCTCCCATTCCCCTTGCCTCACACCTTCGTCCCACCCTCATGCCTCTCATCTCCTCACTGCTCCTCACACCTCTGCCCTACCTCACCCACACCTTTTAGCTTCCAGTGTGCTCCCAGCTATGCCTCCTCCCTCAGCATCTCTCCTTGGGGGCCACCCTCAGCTTGACTCCCCCAGTGGGTTGGGTCACCTCGCCCTGCCTCACCCAGCAGCCGCACACCAGCAGCAGTTCCTACAGGTCTGGCTCCAGATACATGAACTTGTTTGAAGCTGATCTATTAAAATCATCTCAGGAGGATTTGTTACCTCCTCTCCAATTTTGTTCTGTTGAAATTTGGCTGTTTGAAGTGGAAAATAATTTACAATATAGACTCAAAAATAATAAACTAAAAAATGTGTTGTTTTCAGGGTCAGGGCCCGCCTCCACCCCCTCTACTGGCCCAAGCTCACAGCGGGGCAGCAGGGCTGGGCCTGTACCCCATCCTCTGGCAGTATCCCAATGGAACACCAACATCGTACCCCCCTGGGCTCAACCTGTCCCCCACAGCTAAGTGGGTCCACCCTGAAAATCCTGTCACTGTGAATTCTGAGGCCTCTTTGAGGAGGGTAGGTGTATTTATATTAGAATGTGTGTCAGCGTGTTTTGGAAGAACTGTAATTACATTCCTCCACTCTGATAGTTAGTCAATAAAACTGACTTTTATATGAACAACTGTTCAACATGAACATCTTAAAATACAGATGTTACTCTGTTGTTCATTATCTGCCGTCCCTAGTAGGCTAGTGGTTAAGGCGCAGCGCTCTCGCCACTGCGGCCCGTGTTCAAGTGCCAAAACACGTGCCAAATGTCAACATGCGAGTCATCAGTGTGACGATTTGCTGTGGCGACCCCTAAACGGGAAAAGCCAAAAGTGACTTTCCTACTCTGTTATTCATTATCTATGGAGGACATCCAGGATTGTCCTTACGTGACATCACTATGTTTTGAGTCTCTGCACGTTAGCTCACAGACAGACTGGTTTGAATTCTCTGGTTAATAAAAACTGTCCTTTTTATAGCTGAGATAAGCACTCTATTTGTTATCTATTACTACCATGCAAGGGATAATGCAAGTTGTGTATTTATTGGAAAATAACAGGTTGTGGGGTTCTAGGTCTCCATGGAGTGTTATTTTTTTATACATGTATAGACTGAAGTGGATTATATCTTTTACACAATTTACACAGGAAAAGTACAGTAATACAAATATAAATATAGCTACATTTTAAAAATGAAACTTCTCACTTCTTTGTCCACAGGAAGGCAAAGCCTAGCACTGGCTAACACTAGTTGCTGCTAGTATTAGAATGTTATTGATGATGATGATGCACTTTTGTGTTTATCTGAAATTAATCCACACCCCCAGCCAATTAAAAGTGAGTGTGCATTGTATAAGACAAATCTGGTAAAGGAGTATGTAGGTGTAGTTTATGGTGCTATACTTTAGCTTGACTCTGTGTGTTTCCTCTTTTTTGCGTATGTATTTTTTATATATGAAGACGGGTATGACCATGTTTTCTGTCTCTGTAGATTCTCATGCATTATCTTAGTGATGCTGTATCTGTATGTGTGTGCAGAACACAGCCAGTCCATGGCTGCACCAGGCTGCTGGAGGTACTGGTGACAGTCTGGGTTTACTTAGCCATGTTCCTGTTCGGCCAGCCAGCGCAGATGCCCACCGTCCTCCGGTCAAGATCAACACACATACAAGCCCTCCGCTGTCAAAGGCCAATGTGGACCTTAAAGAGTGAGCAGTTCTTTTCCACGATGCTGGATCGACTTCAGCTAAAAATGTACCATTAGTCTAATTTATGGAACCAGTTTGCTTGAGAGATATATTCCACGCAGAGAATACAGTATGTGCAAAATAAATAAATTCCCTGGTGAAGTCAAGAGAGGTTTAAAAAGAACTCTAACATGTGAATAGCTGTTATTTCACACCTTAATACCTTGAATATGTAGTAGATGCTCAGCCCAGCTTGACGCAAGTAATGCTCTGCAGTATGGGGATAGACTCAGAAAGGTCACAAGAGACCGTGAGAGCACGAGGCATTTCTTCAGTCTGTAGTGAAATTAAGCACTTGAGAGTTGGACTGAAAGAACTAGTGTACCACAGGAGACAGGCAGACACAGAATATTTGCTTTGGACATTTGAACAGCCTGCCCTTTCCTTTGTAAAGCGAGATATGGTCAGAGAGCTCACACAAAGCAGCAGGAGAACTAAGTTAGCTCTGACAGGCAGACAGGCAGTGCCAGGTCAGTCAGATGAAGTGAAGTGGCTCTAATCCAATATTAACACAGTTCAGACAGAATGCTGTTCATTCAACAACCCATGCTCTCCTTATGTAACCACTGGCCATTACTTAAACACCACTGGATAACCATCACACAAACACACAGATTTGCTGAGGAAACATCACATATCCCTCATCTCTCTCATTAGCCTAGTTATGTCTAAAATCTGCTGAACAGACAGTAAAAACCACAATACTTTGCAAATTGTGTAAACCTGCCTCTTTTCTAACTTCATACATTCACAACAATCACTCATACACTTGTTTTTCTGTGTTTGGCAAATCACTGTGTTATATTCAGGTTAGGTGCTACTTAAATTAACAGTTGTATTTATAAACATATACATGATTCTCAGTTGTTCTTCACAGTTCTGTCTGGTCCTGGAATTTCTGGAATTTTCAGGATTCAATTTTAGCAGAGGATGCAAAATTAACTTTCAGCTAAGTTCATACATGGATGCCATAGAATGCTTTTTAGCTTAACAGAAAAGAAGGAAAGAGAAAAAACTGCTCATCTGTTAGTTTATTGAAATATAGGGTAAAACACCATGAAATGTAATGACTGGCTAAAGATTGAACTTGTGTGAATGCAGGGATGTGGATAAAAAAGGCTTTGTTGACCCCGTCAGGACGCTGACATTGGCCCAGCTGAAGCAGGAGCAGACAGATAGGAGTCGAACCCCCACAGGGAGAGATGTCCACTTACACCGCCTCTACTTAGACCCTCACAGCAAGGCTCGCCTGGCAAATACACAGGTACACTGCACTTGATATTATTGTTATTGTTAGAAGTACTGTAGTATGAGGAGTAGTAGTAGTGGTATAATATACAGTATATAACATAGGATGTGTAAAAAAAAATAAAATTAAAAAAAAATAGAGGAATTCTTTTATATAAAGAGAGTAGATAACCACAGTAAATATTTATTATTTTACAAAGACAATGCACCAAACTTAATAAAAACACAATGGATAAAAATAACACCTACATAAACTAAATGTAATCAGCGCCTATAGCACATGCACTAAATATACTGTTGGTCTTTGTATTAATAGTATATGTATTTGTTCCCAAAGGATCCCTCTTTATATTTCTTTTTTTCAGTCATACTGGTGCTCATTGACTGTGATCCCATCCTTCAGATTGGAGAACAACAATACTAAACTTCCTGATGCCTAATGTTAAATTATCAACCCCATACATTTGTCTTTATGTAAACACCAGAAATGCCACGGGAGTGCTACGATTTCTGTTTGAAAATTAGAAAGCCACTCCTTAACAGTGTTTGCGTTTTCTTTTCTAGGATGCTGTTCAAGCAGCTGAACGAGTAAGTAAATACAAAGAGGAGAATCGACAAATCCTAAAAGAGAGCATTGAAGTCGCACGCTTCACTGCTAAGATTCAGCGCTCCAGTGATCCTGGGATGGACAGGGACAGAGAGAGAAGCAGAGATTCTGCCTTCCCTCTCCGGATACCAGCTCTTGCCTCCCCCAACCCCAAGTCCAGCCATGCCCATCCTCACATCATCCATTCAGAAAAGAGCAACTACTTCACCACACTGTCGAACAGTGTAGTGAATGAGCCTCCAAGACTGTACCCCTACAAGGAGCTCAGCGCTTACTATGATAAAGTATCCGCAGGGGCGCCAGCGATTGTGGCCAGTATTGGGGCCGCTGTGCCCAGCCAGGGAGCACTTACCCTGGGCAGTTACAGCTCCAAAGCCTCCCTCTCCAAGCCCCCTCCCCTCATTAAGCACCAGCCAGAAGGAGGAGAGGGTTTAGCAGGAAAAATCACTGAGCAGCTCAGCCAGCAGGTGACACTAGTCCAACAGCAACATCAGCACCACACAGGTATAGACAGGATAGAACGCTGCAGCCCTGCCATTTCTCCTTCATCCTCCTCTACATCCTCATCTTCATCTTCTGCCCCCAACCACCACCATCATCACCACCAACAACAACAGCAACAGCAGCAGCAGCACCAGCTCAGGGCGATGCCATCTCTCCACCGAGCGCCTGTCTTCCATCCCCCAACACAGCACGCACTGGAACGAAAAGAAGCTGTAGAGCGAGAGAAGGAAAGGGAGAGAGAGAGGGAGAGAGCAGGTTGTGGTGGACGCCTATCTCCACCGACTCTCACACCCATCCAGCCAGTTAGCTTAGCAGCAGCTGGTGGTAAGACATCAGCAGAGCAGCACAAACCTCCCACGCTGGTGCCGGAACTCAGGGACATCAAAGGTCATGGAAACGCTGCCACCATCACCTCTGTGGCCTCTACCACTAGTGCAGAGATTATGGCTTCATCAACAGATGGGTGGAGAGGTGGAGAGATGCTTAAGGAAAGAGAGGTATACTCTGGAGAGAAAGGAGTGTCAAGAGGCAAGCCCCAAGGTGCAGTGGCATCAGTCATTGTGCGTCCACCAACATGCATCAAGTACGACAGTCCTGTTGGGGCTAACAGATCTGGTTCTATGATCCATAAGGATCTCCCCCAGGGGAGTTTTTATCCATCCAGGCTTCAAGGGGGTTGTCCTAGGCTTGGGGAGAGTGTGCGAGAACCTGGAGCTGACAGGGTTATCCAACCCAACTCAAACCTGGATGACATGTGTGTCCAGTATAAAAAGACTTCTGTGTGTGACATACAGGGAACTATGGGAGCCAGTACCACAAACTCTTTGTGCAGGACTGCTGTGTCAGCCTCATCAGCTTTTGATAAGTGTGGGGCAACCACCCCTGAGCTGGGTTACTCCAACTCAGCACGGGGTGAGCTTGCACCTCATAAAACATGCATTGGTAGCCGGGTTTTGAGTCAGTCAGGACAAGGAGAGCACCACGAAGGCTTTGGCTCACGTACCGCATCTCCGGGGGGATCTTTGCCTTCCCCTAGACCAGCAGGGACACCCCAGCCCAGTCCAAGCCTCACTCCAACACCTAGCTCTGCCTCTGGCTCCAGTCAGCCTTACTCCTCCTCTTTTGTCCACCTCAAGAAGCACAAAGCTGCCTTGGCTGCAGCTCAGTCCAGAAGCAACTTTCCTAGTGCTGCTACATCCATCACAACTGGAAACACCTCCCTAACTGTGGATTCAGTTGACAAAGCTCCTGTTCAGAACTCCCCGCCTCCACCCTCCTCTAGCCAAGCTTCCTCATCCTCAGTCGACAGCAGTAGCAGCAGCTCAACAAACGGGAGCACAACACCTGGCAAGTCCAGTCCGCTGCCTAATGGCCAGCCCTCAGGATCAGCCTCAACAAGCAGTGGGCAGCCTAGTAACTACCACAAGCTGAAGAAAGCCTGGTTAACCCGACACTCGGAGGAGGACAGGAACACAACTGCTACTACAAGTTTGACCAGTACTAAACCAGAGAAACTGCCCAGCACCACCACCAGCATAAGTAATACAAGTAATACTACAGCCATGTCAGAAATGATCAAACCCTGTACAGTCAATCTCAGTGCCTCTACCTCCAGTGAGGTGGAAGTGAGCAAAGACAGTGGAAGCAAAGGTGAGAGAGAGAGGCAGTTGGAAGAGAAGATGGAGGGACCTGCAGGAGGGGGTGGAGAGGAGAGGAAAGTAGCTCCTTCCTCAAGGCGAGGGAACAAACGGCCATATGAGTCAGGTTCAGAGAGCGGAGGTGATGAGTCTGATGGCAGTGAGAGCAAGATGGAAGGCCGAGCCAAGCGTCAGCCTAAACCGACCTACAAGAAGAAACAGAATGACATGGCCAAGAAGAAAGGAGATCATGAAAAGGAGGAAGATGATGTGAAGCACAACGGCATCTTCAGATCAGCTCGAGAGAAGACCAAACTCAAATTGGCCAGTAGTAGTAAGTCTTACATATAGTAGATATTTACAGTGTTTTAGTCTCCCAACACTTTGTCATTTGATTCCTACTCAAGAAGTATATGTTTTAGAACAGACTTGTTTAAAAAGTTGGAATAATTTGAACACTGTGTATAACAAATGTTTCTCAAATGTTTGTTAGGGACTTTTCACCTCAAAATTTAGAATGTCACCAAGCTTTTAACAGCTGGAGGGATTCAGGTTTCAGATATGTTTTTTGGGTAGACAGCTCTTAATGACTCCTTTTTGAAGCAGTCAGTTCATATTTATTGCTTGTGACGCTAAGCATACAACTGTTACTTTACCCTCCTATTACGCTAGTACACGACTTTTGTTACACTAGCATATTCTGTTGAGTCTTCCTATTTAATGGCCAACATAGTGGCTACTGCTACCTGCCAGTCACAGTTTAGTGTAAATTCATCAAATCATTACATCAGAGGTTTCAGAAAACCCAATTCAAGGCTTACTGAACCCTTTCAGCATCTATTATTCTATTACTTGTTACTATTATGTAGTGTACTTACTATTACCCCATTAGTTATATTAATTTTGAATACTCTCGGAAGGAGTTTTTCTGTAGTCCTGGATTTTAAACAGTTCAGACATGTAAAAACAGAGAAAGTATGTTGCTCATCTATATATTTTCTCTCTTCAACGTTCTTGCTGCCAAAGTGGTGAGAAGAAAAAGTCCTGTGTAAAAAGGGTCCACATGGTCTTCAGCTTATATGGGCATGTGAATGCAGAATGTTTTGGCAGCTTGAACCCAGCATTGTTTCCTTTTTCATGTGTAAAGACTCATCTTCTCTTTTGTTGTATTTTACTGGCACATTTTACCAACTTTGACACCAAGTTATCTCATAATAAAACTTCCTGCTAATGATTTTATGTGCACTCTTCTCAGATGGAATACCCCGTTCCGTGCTGAAGGACTGGAGGAAGGTTAAGAAGCTGAAACAGACCGGGGAGTCTTTCCTGCAGGATGACTCGTGTTCAGAAATTGGGCCCAATCTGCAGAAGTGTCGAGAGTGCAGGGTTGTCCGCAGCAAGAAGGGCGAGGAACCAGCACATTCTCCTGTCTTCTGTCGCTTCTACTATTTCAGACGGTAAAGCTCTCATCTGCATCACATTTGTTTCTTTTTTGCATTTGTCTTTATTTTGTTAGGTTTTCTCTGGTTTCCTGGCTGTAATTGGCCAACATATATTCTTTTTTAAGAACTGTCAAGAACATAAAATCCTTCCAAGATTCATTGTCATAACTTTACCTTCACTACAGTTTTCTGTAAAGACAGTAAGCTCTTGGTTTAAGAGGTTACATGTCTAAATAAAAAGAGAAAGAGAGGACAGAAGAGCCTTCATGTCCTCCTTTGGCCAGCTGACCAGCAGGGTATCTGATGACTGGCAGGGCATACTTGTTAATGGCCTGGATCTTGTTCTTCCCATTGAGCTGGCTCTTCATGACCTGCCATATGTTTTTTGATGGTATTTGGATGTAGCTGTCCTCCATGCCTACTTCACTGTGGTTCCCATGTGACTGTGGGATACCAAAGTACTTGTAACTGGTTTGTGTGTCTGCTATTTGGCCTGCTGGCAGTTTTACCCCATTGCTCTTAACCATCGTCCCTCTTTGATTATCATCCAGCCACACTTCTCTAGTCTGAATGACAGCTCGATGTCCTCACTGAAGATCCTTGTCAGGTGGAACTCGTTCATTCTTGGCATACAGCTTGATGTCATCCGTATGGAGGAGGTGGTTGATGGTAGCTCCACTTTTGAAATTCCATCTGTACCCACACTGTGCAATCACCTGACTGATGGTGTTTGAGCCAGCAGTGGGGAGAGTGCATCACCTCTGTATAGGTTGCACTTGATGGCCACTTGTTGTCTTGAGTTCCAGAGGTTTTCCACAGTCCGTTTGAGCTCTTGAGAAAGGTCCTTATTAATGTCCTTTTCATTTTGTGTGCCACTGAGTCACAGGTTTTTCTGTAGTCACTTCAGGCTGTGATCAGATTGGTCTGTCTGGACCTTTAGTAATTGCTAACTGCTCTGTCCTAGTTGTGCTCATGTACTGGTCCACGTGGTCCTGTAGCTTGGCAGCTATGATGCCTGATAGGACCTCCCATGTTGTGGGCAGGCAGGTTATTAGCCAGCAGTAGGATGGTAATGTTCAGCCATCCCTGGTAGGCTAGTGGTTAAGGCGCAGCGCTCTTGCTGCTGCGGCCTGGGTTCGAATCAGGGTTGCGTTTGGAAGGGCATCTGACGTAAAACACGTGCCAAATGTCAACATGCGATCGTCAGTGTGACGATTCGCTGTGGCGACCCCTAAAACGGGAAAAACCGAAAGTGACTTTCTAGTAGGATGGTAATGTTCCTCTGTGGGAGTCTTTCCTGATCAGCACCCTCCTTCCTTGTGTCAGCCAGCCAGTTGGATATATATGCTCCAGTGAAAAGTTTGGATATACAGTACTTCCCCATCAAATTACATAGGAAAGTGTGTCCAAACGTTTGACTTGGTGTATTTATTAAGTCAGGAGGTATATGTACCTCCAGGAATTTCTGGCATTTGAGTGGTGGCTTGTTTTAATCTCACTTCTTGACATCATGTGTTGCTTTGCTGCTCTTATTCATTTAATGAGATCTGTTATGATATACCATTACAGTACTATTCTAGTGCCAATGTGAGGTCCTTCCAGGCCCAACTGCAATTTAAACTGCAGGCAAATATGTTGTCATGTTATGTAGTTTGAAAGAGGCATTCATTGTGTTGTATGGGTCCAAAATAATATGTTTATTACCTGCGTCCCCAGTTATCATCAATATTGCATATCATATTTTTCTGTCATCTTTGCTGGACAAAACAGCATGCTAATAACTTGTTCCCCACCTCCAGGCTCTCCTACAGTAAAAATGGAGTCATCCGTATGGATGGCTTCTCCACTCCAGATCAGTTTGATGATGAGGCCCTGGCCATGTGGGTCCCTGGGGCAATGGAGGAGAGCCACCTGGACCAGGCCACAGCCAAGTACATTCTGGGCTTCATAGGAGACAAGTTTTGCCAGATGGTTGTAACTGAGAATACTGCAGCCACCTGGGTCAAGAAAGATGGTAATTTGTCCTAAAAATGGTTGACATTTTGATTCAAGAATTCTTGCTTTCTCTTTAAAATTACCCTATTGTGTCTTTTAGCCAAACTGGCGTGGAAGAGAGCAGTTAGAGGGGTGAGGGAGATGTGTGATGCCTGCGAAGCAACACTCTTCAATATCCACTGGGTCTGTCAGAAATGTGGCTTTGTTGTCTGCCTGGACTGCTATAAGGCTAAAGAGAGAAGGAGTTCCAAAGGTCAGTATTGTGTTCGTTTGGACAGTGAAGAGCCAAATGACAGACCAGATGAGCTGGCTTTACAGATGTTCTAGCATGCAATTTAGACTGGTGAACTGCCCAGCACAAGCCTGGATTAAACCCCACATTAAAGGTAGCTCCAAAGCTCATTCAGTACATCTAAATGTCAAGCTGTACTTGGTTCTTTACAGAGTACATTGTGTACTTTGATTTTTTTTATTTTTTTTATACATGGTTTTTGGTTTTGGTAAGTCAGTTGGATGTGATGTATTAAAGATTCATGAAAAAAATTGACATGACCTAACAAGTACTTCAAAAGTTACATTCAAACCAATTGCAAACTATTGATCAGAAGTTGTTTTACTGACACATGCAAATGGATTTACAGTAACCAGGCTTGTTATACTGCATGTGAACAAGTATGATTTTCTGTACAACTCTCCAAGTAGCCTTTTTTTTGCTTGCATGTAATTATAATGTGTTGAAATCCAAATTATACATTTCTTCTCTATGTCTATTAAGTGAGTATTTACCGAGTTGCAAACCTGTATGTGTGTTGTGTATTTGTGTCCACTTGTGTACAGTATTGTTCAAAATAATAGCAGTACAATGTGACTAACCAGAATAATCCAGGTTTTTAGTATATTTTTTATTGCTACATGGCAAACAAGTTACCAGTAGGTGCAGTAGATTCTCAGAAAGCAAACAAGACCCAGCATTCATGATATGCACGCTCTTAAAACCTGGATTATTCTGGTTAGTCACATTGTACTGCTATTATTTTGAACAATACTGTATTATGCGCATGTATACTGTTATGGCTCCTGACTTGTTTCTCCTTCTGTCATCAGACAAAGAACTGTATGCCTGGCTGAAGTGTGTGAAAGGACAACCTCACGATCACAAACATTTGATGCCAACACAGATCATACCTGGCACAGGTGAAGTATGCACTGTTGTCCTCTTAATCGTTCTGTTTACATCATGTCTGCATCTGTTAGCTGTTTTGCCTTGCCATTTCCCGAGCACACAGTAGACTAGTGTGTGGCTGTTGTACAGCAAAGAGTTTGTACTGAAGCATTCAATAAACTGTTTTGTTTGTCTGTTCTGGGTAATGAGCTCAACCCAGTAGTAGGCATCATGTTACTGCAGTAGTGCAATAACTCTCCCAGCTCTACTGATTGGATCATGTTCCATTTTAATAAAGGTCCTGTTTTCTTCCCCCTTAAACATTTTTCTTCTCTGAAATTATTAAATTCTGCTGCATATTTTTGATATTTCAGTGCTGACAGACTTGGTGACTTCCATGCACTTGCTGAGAGACAAACACAGCATCAAATCCCACTGTCCCTGCACTAACAAACAGAATGTGCTCACCAAATTACCAGCCACCAATGGAGTCTCACAGGTACCACTGACCAGACCACCTATATGGCCAGGACACTGTTTGTGGCAAAGTCACAATTATTTTAATAATTCCCTAATGATCTTGTTTGGAATATCTTGTAAATAGTGGTTAAAAACATTTAACGTGTTGATTTCTAAAGGCCACAGCTGAGAGTATTCAGATTAAAAGAATTACTGAATTAGGACCAAAGTGTAAAAAAAAGGGTCTCAGTTTGAGCCTTTAACTCAGCCAACAGGGCAAAACTGTGGCAGCACAAATCAAAGAGGAAATCTAAAAGTAGTCACTTTTAATAAATTCCTTTAATAATGCAAAATTAAAGTTATGTATATTGTGTGACATATGCACAAAAGTAATATTTGTATTTTTATTTGTGCTCTTAAAATTCATGAGATGTGCCAGTATCATGATGGAATCACAGCATTGTCCACATGGTGGTGGTTGGCGCACACAGCAGCTAGCTTCCCAGTATTTTTGTCAATTTGTATAATGAAACCAAGTAGTCAATATCATTTAATCTTGGATTCCCACTTCTCTCGGCCAGGTTCTGCAGAATGTCCTGAACCACAGTAACAAGCTGTCTCTTGTGAAAGCTGAACCAGGCTCTCAACAGAACTCTGATCAAGTAGGAACCAAGGCAGAGACCAATGGCGGCGGTGGTGGAGGATGCAGTCCAGGCAGTGACAGGGAAAGTGCTACTGTCACCCCACCAGAGTCGCAGTCACCTTTGCACTTCCTGGCAAACCTGGCAGAGCAGAAATCCAGGGAGGAAAAGAAAGGTGAGTTGAAGGATAAAGGACAGCGCACAGTGGCAGTGTGTGTGTCAACACACCCATTATTTTCTGTTGAAGCCCCTATGGCAGCGGCAAATTGACACGTCATCACGGTTTGACAGCGTGTTACCTTTAAGAATCATTATGCTTTTAATCTTTCATTCACTGGTTCTATAATGATTTGTTCCAAATGGCCATACCCTCTCATGAATTAGTTTTTTTTTTCCTCAAAGTGTGATGGTAATCAGTAACCTCTTCCTCTCTTTACCCCTGCCTCCCTCCTCCTCTTTTCTTTAACAGAAAACAAGGAGTCAGTGTTGCTAGGTAAATCACTGAAGGAGGACAAAGATGGGGATAGCCTGGAAGTCTTGCAGCAGTGTAAAACCACCTCACTGGTATCTAACAGTACGGAGCAGGGCTCCACACTCCGAGATCTGCTCACCACCACAGCAGGGAAACTAAAGCTTGGCTCCACTGATGCAGGAATCGCCTTTGCACCAGTCTACTCTAATACTTCACAGGTACACAAGGACACATTTATGATGTAATCAAAGATTGGTATATTGGTTTGGAAATGTATTGATTAGTCCCTGTTTAACTGACTTTTCAGTCTTGGGGAAGCATGTGTCACCCTGAGGATGTTATAAATTAGGTGTCTTTAATATACGGTACAAATATAAGATATTATGTTTTCATTAACATTTATTAATTGTACAAAGGCAGAAACTAAATTACTCCAGTTGTACCACCTATGTGCATTTGTACAGTTGATATTGAAATGCTGTTTATCTTCTTTCTTTTACTCAACACGAAGCCTGGAAAGGGTGGGCGTACCATGCCTAATATTCTTGATGACATCATTGCTTCAGTAGTTGAAAATAAAATTCCCGCCAGCTGCCAGAACATCACCACCAAGCTGTCAGTCAAGCAAGAGCCTGTCACCCCGTGCAACAATAGTAACACCACCCCCCTTGCTGTTACTGAGGATACCAAACCAGACAGGAAGAAGTCAGTGCCTGTTACTGCAGCTTTGCCAGAAGAATCAGTCAGTCAGTATCCAGGCATCCCCCACTGCTGGTTAAACAACAAACAGTTACTGTGGCTCAAAGATCATCGTAACCAGAACAACTGGAAGCTGTTCAGAGAGTGTTGGAAACAAGGACAGGTATAGGTGCTCTCACTAACAGTAGCAGTAGTAGTCACTGTAACAGTACAGTAAAACCTTGGATTGCAAGTATAATTCGTTCCGGCAACGTGCTTGTGATCCAAAGCACTCATATCAAAGCGAATTTCCCCATAAGAAATAATGGAAACTCAGATCATTTGTTTCATAACCACCTATTCATATAAAGTAAAAACAGTATAAAGTAAAAATAAAACAAATTAACCTGCACTTGACCTTTGAAAATAATCATGGCTGGCGTGAGGGAGACAGAGAGAAGAGCTATCTGTTGGCTCACTGAAATGTTTTCTTTTTGTGCTACTTTAACAAAGGAAGCTATCCAATTCACTTGCTTTTCCCTCCTTTTAAGGATTTGGCAGAAATGTGGCATTGCATTGTTGTTAAACAGATTTATTCTTTGCACTGCTGCAGCCTTATTCGGGTGGTGCTTTTCCACAAAATTTTGCACCATTTCCCACATTTTACACATCTCCCTTATAAAATCTTGCGATGTTGGCCACTCGCATATCTCGTTCATGCTTCTCCATGATTTCCCTTTTACCTTTCACCGTAATCACCTCCTTTTTCTTACCGCCTTTCTTTTCAACCTTTATTTTTTTCTTCATTGGGGCCCTTGTTGCAGTACAGATGTTGATTGTACGAGTAAGGCGCGAGAACCATCGGCTCAGTTGTCGTGACGCTCAGCAAAGCGTACGTGCTACTCATATTGCAAGACCTCGCTCGTTTATCAAGTTAAAATTTACAAAAAAATTTTGCTCGTCTTGCAAAACACTTGCAGACCAGGTTCCTTGCAAACCAAGGTTTTATTGTACTGTACTAATTATAATAGAGAATGTGAAGTTGTCATCATGTTGTGTTGAATTTTGGTTACTATTTTGGGAGCATCACACTCATTATCCATCATAGATGTACACTATATACATCTACAGTACAGCTACAGTAGCAGATGAAAGATTCCAGATTTTTATTAGCCATGTATGCATAAACAGACAGTCTAGGCATATAGGAATTCTTGTGCAGCTCTCCTTTGGAGTCAGGTAAATGGTCTTATACTTGTATAGCGCCTTTCTATGCTTTTACCCGGGAATCGAACCGCTAATCCTCCGGTTAGGAAACGACCCACTCTCCCTCCTGAGCCACAGCCGCCCCGGTAAGGAGTCAAAAGCCAGAATAAACACTTAGTCTTAAAATAGAAAAGTTACATAAGGGCGACAAAATATTAAAACACAATACACAAAAATAGGGTAATAATATTTCCCACAGTGCACTTCAAACATTGCACTTAGTGGAGTTGGATATGTCATTACGCTTGGTGAGATAGTGAGGGGTTACTGCACATGTCTAGTAAGGGATTATTGCACATATATTCTCACATTTTCATATTTGCCATCAGCCTTTCTGCGGCAGGGAAAAGCTGTTGTAAAGTCTTGTTCTGTGTGTGATGATACTGTCCGCCCTGCCCAGCTTTTCTGAGCCGCTACTGGGCTTTCTTCACTGTGGCAGCTGTGTTCAGTGACCAGCTCAGGTCAGATGTCACCTGCAGGTCCAGGAACTTATGGCCCTCAGCCCTCTCCACCTCCGTCCCTTTGATGGTCAGAGGCAGCAGAGGGAAGGGGTTCTTCCTGAAGTTTACTCTTATTTCTTTTGTCTTGTTTATGTTGAGGATGAGGTCATTCTCCTCTCCATAAACAAGAATGTCGTTCACCAAGCTTCTGTAACCCGACTCGTCTCCCCCCTTGATGAGGCCCAGAATGGTGGTGGCATCAGCATATTTAATGATGATGGTGTTGTCATGGTTGGAGACACAGTCGTGGGTGTACAGGGTGAAGAGTTTGGGCTTGAGACAACAGCCCTGCGGTGAGCCTGTGCTGATTGTGATTGTGATTGATCCCACCGCCTTATCGGGGTTTACCTGTTTCAGGGCCTTCAGGACCTGTGTGTGCGTCACCTGAAAAGCAGTGTCTCCCGGGTCGTAGAGGGATTTTGAGGGAGTGTTTGTGTTCCTCCTGTCAAACCTCGTATAGAAGTTGTTGAGGCTGTCCGGGAGGGTGGCATCCTGGGGGCTGTGTTTGTTGATTAGTTTGTGACTGCCTGGATTCCCTGCCACATACTGCGCATGTTGTTATTCATGTAGCAGCTCTCCAGTTTTTGGAAGTATGCCTTCTTTGCAGCTCTGATGGACTTCTGTAGCTTCAACTACATCCAAACATCCACTTTAGTGTTCAATTTGAGCACAGACAGGACAGAAACTGATTCATCTGCAATGTTAGTGTCATCTGCCAACAGCTACTAGCTAGCATTAGCTCCCGAGCCATGGGCTGAGATCAGGGGTGCGGAGTCATTTTTCAGTCTGTCGCTCTTGTCGACAGGATCTCTATGTTCACTATGAGTTAGATACAGTCAGCCGAGGTTATCCATTCTGAATTACCACAGTCAGTAAAGTGAGATGTAAATGATTTAAGCAACTTTTTTTAGACAAAACAAAACAAGAATGTAGGCAGATAAATACAACACCTCTCAAATTGGCACCCCATCGCAATATTTAACACGGAATTATGTACCTGCACATCCTGTGTAAGTGAATGTACTACAGACAGTAACAATATGAATGGTTTTGTGTTTCTTCAGCCAGTGCTGGTGTCAGGGATCCATAAGCGACTGAATGCCAGTCTATGGAAAGCTGACTCCTTCAACCAGGAGTTTGCAGATCATCAAGGAGACCTCCTCAACTGTAAAGACCAGGTGCTGTCCAACTCTGGGATCAAGGAGTTCTGGGATGGATTTGAGGACATCACCAGTGAGTTCATCTTGACTTGGTCTCACTCTTCTAGTTTAAGTAATTAGATAGCTCCTTACAACCAACCACTGAAACATCACTGTCACTGAAAGGGTGAATAAGTTTTCATACTGTACCTGTTCAGAGCGACCCAAGTGCAAGGATGGAGAACCTATGGTCTACAGATTGAAAGACTGGCCATCTGGAGAGGAGTTCATGGCCCTCATGCCTTCAAGGTAAACATGTACCCTCTACACATACAATTGTCCACTCTGCTAGCCAGACCCTGTGCTGCTGAATCTCAAGCTTTACATTCAAACATGCGACAGTCAAAGTCTGTTTTTGATGAAAGTTTAAAGGTGAATACATACAATGCAAAAGTAATTACAAGCCCATTTAAGTAAGGTATTTTTGTAGGTATGATGACCTGATGAAGAACCTGCCCCTGCCAGAGTACTCTGATCCAGAGGGGAACCTCAACCTGGCCTCCCATCTGCCATCTTTCTTTGTAAGGCCAGATTTGGGGCCAAGACTCTGCTGTGCCTATGGTAAGAGTAAAACTGACAGCTGCAGTGATCTAACTTTACTTACCAAATTTTGTCTTTTCTGTTTCATCCTTTGTACGTGAATAAACTGCAAATATGAAAATGAATGAAAATTGAGCCTTGCTGCTTAATGTAGAGTAATATTTTCCATTTAAAATGTTCTTTTCTGATATAAGCCGCCTCTGCATCTTTTCTTATGAATGCATTGTTTGTCATCCTGTAGGTGTAGCTGCATCTCAGGACCAAGACTTTGGGACTGCCAACTTCCATGTGGAAGTCTCAGATGTCGTCTCCGTCCTGGTCTATGTTGGAGTAGCCAAAGGCAATGGAGTCCTGTCCAAAACTGGTAAGACTGACATCAGGAAATAATCAACTTTAAAGAGTAGGTGGACTGACACAAAACAGCTTTTCATTGCAGTGCACGGAGGGAAAAGATGAACATAAAACAATGACGACATGGAAGGAATAAATGGAGAAGACTGGGTTAGGAGAAGGGTGTTAGATCCCATCAATCTGTTAAACCAGAGTGGAGTGGCCAGAGGCAATGAGATCCTATGCAGTGCCACTCACTGTCACTGTTGAATATGTTCAGTTAGGACAGAGTGAGGCTGCAGTCTACAACCTTAATGTGTACATCAATATCTAAGAGTCATAGATTCTTTTTTTAAATGTTAACTATGGCCACACCATTGTACTTCCCTGCTCTAATCATAAATAACAGCAGACACACACTAACATTCAGCCCGTTGTCCTTGGAAATATCGAGAGTTGGCTTGACTATGACACTGTAATTTTTATATATACCATGCCAAGCTGCTGTTTTAGGGGTGTGTAAGTGTGCAAGTGTGTTTAGTTCATAACACATTTTAATCTGGGAAATACAAAAACAGATGAATTGGGAAATTTGACACAGTTGAAACAAAAATACAATTAAGTACTAGCTCGACTGTCCAAATATCAGCTGCTTCATTATTACTTCTATTTCAGTCGTGCCTTTTTTTTTATTGTCTTTGGAAAACATGAACAATGCTTAAAAAGAATTTTCTAAATTTCAATATCAAGGACATGCAACATTGTTAGCTAACTTGTAGTCAGCTAACTTTCTTTTCTGGGTTCCATATCACTATAAACTGAATAGTTTAGGATTTTTGACTGTGACAGTTGAAAAAAGAAAATCTTGTGACGGGTGTTGGATGGATACATTTGTGTCTAAGAGAATAAATGATAAAGAAGGATTGTGTAATTAGAAAATACAGTTTGCTTATCTGATAATATTGAAAAAATTAAAGTAATTAAATGCAGCTTTAGAAACATGAGTGCATATAGCCTGCAGTGTGAGGACCAGTTTGAGTTTTATACCATGGAAGTGAGGACATCTTGGCTGGTCCTAACCTTCTGACACCCCTTCTAAGGCTGTTTGAGGGTTAAGACTTAGTTTTAGGGTTTAGGATAGAATTAGGTGTAGATTAAGGAAGGGAGTTAGGAAATACTTTATGTGAGTGAGTGTCCTTACAAAGATAGCTGTACAAATGTGTGTGTGGGTGTATAGGAGTACTAAAACGTCTGGAGGAGGAGGATCTAGATGAGGGAGTTCGAAGGAGGCTCAAAGACTCCAGTGAGACACCAGGAGCCCTGTGGCACATCTACCTCAACAGGGACATGGCCAAAGTCCAAGAGTTCCTGCACAAGGTCAGCACTCTGAAAAACACAGTCAGGAACTGCTACAGCTTTAAATGAAAGTGCTATGAATTGAAGTACTTGTTTTGGAACTCCTCCCCCCCAGCTCTGTAAGGAGCAAGGACTGGATGTGTCACGGGACCAGGACCCAATCAGAGACCACAACTGGTACCTGAGCAGGAAGCAGCGTCAGCGGCTGCTGGATGAGCACGGAGTTCAGGGCTGGACTGTAGTTCAATTCCTGGGAGATTCGGTTCTTATACCAGCAGGGGCCATGCACCAGGTATGTACTATAGTATATGCACTGACCTCACTGGTAAGATGAAAATCTTTTCCCTCTTACTAAAATGTGATGTGCATTGGTTGTTTGTACTTTTGTTTTATCCATCCATCCATCCATTTTCTTCCGCTTATCCGGGGCCGGGTCGCAGGGGCAGCAGTCTAAGCAAAGATGCCCAGACCTCCCTCTCTCCAGACACTTCCTCCAGCTCCTCCGCGGGAATGCAGAG